AGGAAGGAAGGAAGGAAGGAAGGAAGGAAGGAAGGAAGGAAGGAAGGAAGGAAGGAAGGAAGGAAGGAAGGAAGGAAGGGGAAGGAAGGTCAGATTGACCCAGGCCGGATGAAAGGCACTGTCTCGACAAGATGGAGAAAGACTGAGAAAGGCACGCGTACACACGTGTATAGAATGCAGCCTTAGATCTTGAAAAGCCACAGTGGCGCTAGCAGTTGTGCTGGAAAAGGCAACGTCAGTGATCATTCGTAGAGTTTTTTCCAAGTACAGCACCTTCCCCTCTCCACCCCTGATCTGGATCAAGTTCAGATTGTCCTTCTATATGAAGGAGGCTGGGGACATTTCACTCCTTTCTTTCAGTTCTTTTTCCCAGCCTGAAGACACAGAGGCCAAAGAGTGATCCAGGTTTCCTGAGAAGATACTGCAATTAAAAAAATACCTGTGATGCTTTGAGAATTCCATTCTTCTTGTTATTGCCACTCCTGCTTAGCAGAACTATGTTCCCAAAATAGCTCTAGCAATCTAACATAACATAAATATTTTAATGCTGATTGAAATAATAATGAAAAGTCGTGAATGAGAAAGGGAGACAGGCAGGGACTTTGTATATAGGCCACATAAGTACCCAGTAGGCCTCAGATTCACATGATGTACAGTGTTGGTGTTAAGCCCCAGTGCAGGGCTCCCTTGGGGCTGCAGACTCCAGCTCCACACATCCTAATGACACGTGGAGTAAACTCTGTGAACACATAGACATCGCAGAGAATTCCAGACTCTGGTGAAACAGCATTCGCAGAGCCATGGTGGGCCAGCCCTTGCTTCCAGGAACCAGGGGTGGTCTGAAAAATTAATGACCCTGGCATTGGAAAATTAAGTGAGCTCTTGAATATATACCCTCACTGATCTGCCATGTGTGCTGTTTAGCATTCCTTGAGAGGAGACTAAATCTCCACAGCCATCCCCAAGCGAGGCTGGCGCCCCAGCCAGAAATAGATTCGGTAATCTTTCTAAGCCCTGTGACTTGGGTATTCTACTCTCAGAATTCCAAAGGGTGTGTTCCCCTGGGGCCCAGCAGGTGGGTTGTAATTGCCTCCTAGACAGAAGGAAAATGAAGATCAAATTGACCCAGAGCATTTAGTGTCTGTCTTTCTTCTGCTGAGAATTCATGGGAAAGCCAGAGGCCAAAAGCCAGTCCTGTAAATTGCATGTCTGCTTTTTCCAACTGTATCTAATACTGAGTAACTCTACTGGCAGACATCATTCTTTTGGGGGAGGAGGGCCAGTCTGTGGGAGTGTGGATGAACGAACATCCCTATGGAAGCCAGAGGTCAACTTCAGGTATTGTTCCTCAGGAGCCAATGTCTCCCGCTGGTCTGGAACTCAGGAGTTCAGCAAGGCTAGCTGTCTTCACTGCACTATTAGGATTACAACGCCAACGCCAGACTTGGCTTTTCCTGTGGGTGCTGGGGACTCAGACTCAGGACCTTATGCTTGCACACCAAGCTCTTTACTGACTGAGCCTTGTCCCCAGCCCCCGCATGTTCTTCTGTTCACAAGGTCTCAGGACTGGCCCAGATGCTCTTCCGCTCTCTCTATTCTTTTTTTTTTTTTTGGTTTTTTCGAGACAGGGTTTCTCTGTGTAGCTTTGCGCCTTTCCTGGAGCTCACTTGGTAGCCCAGGCTGGCCTCGAACTCACAAAGATCCGCCTGGCTCTGCCTCCCGAGTGCTGGGATTAAAGGCGTGCGCCACCACGCCCGGCATCCGCTCTCTCTATTCTAATGGGGAACGTGGTGGCTTTCTAGCTGGCTGGCCACAGGCCTGCAGCAGGGTTAATGCTGGGTCACCCCCAGTTGTGCTTTATAGGGGTCTCCAGTCTTAGAACCATCAACCACACACCTCTGACTGTTCTTAACACCCATCATCAGTAAAGGAGGATGACAATTTAAAAAAAAAAAAAAAAAGACCATGTTGTAGGTGTAGTTCAGGGGATAGAGCATACACAAATTTCAACATGCTCAAAGCACTGGATCAGATACCCAGCAGCACATGATGTAGGTGTTCTGTTACATGCCTCTAATCCTAGCACTTGAGAAATGGAATCAGGGAATCCGAAGTTCAAGGCCAGCATGGTATATATGAGCCTCTGCCTCAAAAAGTAAAATAAAATAAAGGACCCTGTCCTTATAGAGCCCAAGGGTACTTTCCTCTCTCCAAGGGTTTTCATGTATAGAATAGTGATCACCTGGAGTCAACAGGCTTAGGTCCACTTTCTCTGGGCCTGCCAGCCAGTCAGGTAAACTCAGGCAAGTCCTTCCTCTACACTGAACTTCAGTGTACTTCTGTACTGTGTCATTGTGAGACTCTTGAAAGAAAATGTCCTGTCCCTATGAGTGTTCTGTGGCCTTTGTAACTCCCTTAGTTCCAAGTCCATCAACTTCCTAAACACATTTCAATAGAGGCACCTTTCCGTGGACTAGTATCCTCCAGAGAGGGCTCTGCAATAAGATAGGCTTCCCTGGAGCCCCTTCCTGGCCTTCAGTATCCCTGCATCTTTCTTTCTGTCTGACCAATGGATGGGAATCCTTAAAGAACCACACCCACCAGAGCTGGCAAATACCCTGAGTCCTGTCGCCACTCCATTTTCATATGTAAGGATCTTGGACTGGGTTCCTTCTTTATCAAACTGCCCACCTAGCCAGTGGCCAAGGGGGCTATGAAGGGGGAATTGAGGCCCCCAGAGAGTCTCCAGGAGGTGACTTCTGGATACTGGCCTAGAATTGACAGTAAGGGGATGGTGTGGCTCAGAGGTACAACACCTATTTAGACACCCCCAGTAAGGAACCTGGGGTGTGTCAGCAGAAGAGGACTTGCCTGGAATCCACCAGTGAGGGGCTGAGAGCATGGCTTGGTGGTGGAGTGTTTCCCGGATGAGGGTCTGGGTGCAGTATGCTGACCTGTGTTCTCCCATTGTGTGTAGATCCTGTGCCAGCCCTGGACCTCGGGCAACAGCTGGAAATAAAAGTGCAGCGTCTACACGACATTGAAACAGAGAACCAGAAACTTAGGGAAACACTAGAAGAATACAACAAGGAGTTTGCCGAAGTGAAAAATCAAGGTCGGTGGCAAATGCCTGCCTGGCTTTGCTCCCCCCCCCTCCGCCCCGCCCCCTTAATTGCCTTCTTCATGCTGTTGGAACTGGCTGTAATTGTTACCCTCCTCATGAAGCCAGGGCGGGGCAAGCAGCCGAATCTCTTAAACAAAGATAATGACACCGCCTAACTATGCCCCAGCTAAACTTTTCCTCCCCAATAACTACACAGGATTTTTATTGCTCTTGGTCTGGGCCGGATCAGGATTCTTTGGAAATTCCTCCTGTATCATCTTGTGATAGGATCTGTCTTTTCAAAGACTGATGTGTCGCCTCTGGGCGACACCTGTCAGACAGCCAGCTCCTGATCAAAGGGTCATACACAGTAAGTCATTTAGTAATTGCTACCGATCCATTAAGGCTCCAGACAAGACGCAGCCTTGCCAGTTGCGTGCTTACACACCATTCTTCCCATGTCGACCTCATCTATTCAGTATGGAGCTCGTGGAGAAAACAAAAAACCCAACAGGCTCTTGGCAGGGCTCCCTTGTGTCACAAGGCAAGGGAGGCAAAGGCTTTTCCTGATGGGGACAAACATAAAGAAATCTGCCCTATACCCAAAAGCCAGGTGTGTTCAAAATCCTAGAACCTTGTCCTGGCCTGGTGTAAGCTGCAAATCCAGCTACTTCGGGGGCCAAGGTAGGAGGATCCAAAGTCCAAGGCCTGCCTGGGTTACGGGCTGAGAGAGCAACTCAGTGAGAACTTGTCTCACAAATAAAAAGCAAAAAGAGGGCTGAGGATATGTGGCTCAGTGGTTGAAAATCTTCCGGCGAGGGACTGGGGGTGTGGTTCAGTGGTTGGGTGTTTGCCCAGCCTTGCATCCTCAAGGCCCTAGGTTCAATTCTCCATTAATAAAAAATAAAAACAAATAATACAAAAAGCCCAGAGCCTCCTGGCTTCCTTGTGTTGAAGAGAAAAACCCAATTCAACCGCAGTCACAAGGTTTTAAAGCAACTCCCAAGTTTCTTGTGTGTCTTTATGGGGTTTGTTTTAGAGACATAGGTGAAGGCTTAGGAAGAAGAAAGGGGCATCAACCTGGCTGGCTCCTGTATGCCCTGCTATTTAGTGAGCTTTTAGAAAACTAATCAAAAGCTAAATGGCTAGGATTGGGACGAGCATCCTTTTTGCCTTAGAGACTTGGAGACAGACTTGGGAGGGGGCACTGTCTGTGGGAAGATCCAGAAAGAAGCTGGGATGGCACAGGAAGAGTTCCAAGGACAAGCAGACCTGGAGTGTGAGGGCAGCAGGTTCCTCTCAGGGAACACTGACTGGAGCTTGAATCCATGGTGGGATGCGGAATATTTGGGGCTCAGATCCACTTGAGTCTGGTTCTGCTGAGAATATGATGACCTCTGGGACCACAGGGACAGCACTGCCCTGCTTAGAAGCCTGTTAGGGCCACAAAGCTGGGGTCCTGTGAGACTTTTCTCTCCCGTAGCAGCCCTCTGCGGCAGCTGCCAGCAGGCTTTGTTTCTTTCAAACTGCCCGATGCCTGGGTGACGGATAAATGTGTGCACATCTGGTTTGTGCACATACCTAGAGAAGAGTCTCCTCGTTTTTTTTACTTTAGCACCAGTGACCTGCCCTTTTTGCTGCCTCTGAGACAGGGGTTTTACCTAGCCCAGGTTAACCTCAAAGTCACTGTGTAGCTCAGGCTGGCCTCAAACTCAGTGTATAGCCAGTCTGATATCAGACTCACTGTAAATGGCCTTGGCTAACCACAAATTATTCTGTAACTCAGGCTGGCTTCAGACTCACCGTGGATTTGAGTCTATCCTCAAACTTACTATGAAGTTCAGACTAGCCTTCACCTAGTAATTCTCTTACCTCAGCCCCCTTCCAAATGCTAGCATTGCAGTCATGTGGCGCCATTCCAGTCCTAATTTGTCTTCAGTGAGTGTTCGTGGGAGCACACACAGTCCACAGTGCCACCCGGCAGGTGGTACTGTGAGAGCTAGGGCTACAAGCGCTGTCTGGCCTGCCACGTTCTGCTTCTCCGTTCATCACCTCACCTGCCCGTACCAGATTCTGGGAATGCAAAGAAACTCGGGTAGGCCTTGGAGGAGCCACTGCTTGTGGCTCGTGTCACAATGCTCAGTCCCACAAGGATGACTGTTAGAACAGAGGGGCACAGGTGGCGAGGACCCTCACCGTTCATTTTGACCGCTTGGATGTCCTCAGCTCAAGCCACTGAAGTGACTGCTGTCAGCTCATCATGGGCGGAAAGACACTTGGAAGAGCTGCCCCAGCCCTGCTGACACACTCCAGCTGGACCTGCAGGGGGCCCCTCCTCAGGCATCCTTTGCTACAGAGCACTTCCGGGCCCCTCCCAAACACCTGAGTGTCCTCCCACATCCCACAGGATCAGCTCTCTCTAGGGAGCCCTCATCCACCAAAGCTGGTGGCCAGGGCAGAGTGTACACCGACACCCAAGCTCCATGGTGGTTCCTCCTTCCCCAGCTCAGTGAGTGACACTCAGCCACAGCGCCTGGCACTTTCCATCCATGGGGAACAACAGCAAAGCTGCCTCGGCGGCTGACGGGGTCTGTGTCTGACCCGACTTCCAAAATGTTTGCACCCTTTCCATGTAGTAAAGTCTTTAAACCCACACCAAAACTTTATTAGTCTGCCCTCTGTAGAGGACCAATTTCAGATGCATCAGTAAGACAATATTATGTTTTACCATCGATTTCCCCCTTTTCTAAGTGTGCTGGAGGGACCACCACAATCCTTCCTGGCAAAACCCATTGATCCTCCCCAACTTGAATACTACAAGTTCAATTTCACATTGAGGGAGTAAAAGGTCCCCAAAGGGACTCATAACCATTGATTTTGTGTCAGCGTGGACAAGCTCGAGTTTAAAATACAGCGATCCCGGCAGGTTACGAAAGCCTGGTTCACCCAGCTATGAGGAACCGCTTCCCTTACTGTTGGTTTTTCGGTCTTTGATTCTGCAGAGGTTACGATAAAAGCACTTAAGGAGAAAATCCGAGAATACGAGCAGACTCTGAAGAGCCAGGCCGAGACCATTGCTCTGGAGAAGGAACAGAAGTTGCAAAATGATTTTGCAGAGAAGGAGAGGTGAGTTCAGCCTCACAGCTCCCATTGCCCCCACAGCACCAATAAATACTTCACCTCCAACCCTGATGTCACATGATAGTTTGAAAAATGCACATGTGAAATCAGCCCAGGTTGTTGACAAATGTCCCAAAGCTCCTGGGCAAAGTTTTGCTTGAAGGGCTAGGATGTGGCTCAGTGGTAGAGCCCCTGCCTGTAATCCCCCATGAGAGAGGCCTTGGGTTCCCTCCTCAACGTGACTGGAAAGTTTCATTGAACAATGACAGTGACCCTTGCTTCTTCGTTGTCAAATCCCTTGAGTGCAATGCGTCACTCTCCTCCCAATGGCCATGGTGCAGGGCTTCAGCCCTGCAGAGTGAGAACAAGGCTTTGTAAGCCAGACACAGTTGACAAGTGACAGCTGTACCTGAGCTGAGGCAGCAAGGGGCCGGGTCCCCCCAACACGTGCTCTCTGCCAGAGAGCCTCGAACTCCGTCTACCTTCGTTGACGTTGATATTTATGTGTCTCAAAAATAGTTTTTGTTTCATTTTCTTTTGCTTTTTTCTATTGCCCCAGTACCTCATAAAGCAAGGAATTGAGATTCCCTAACCCAAAAACCTGAAACATTCTTGACATGTAGAACTGTAAAGACTGAAAAGTTAAGCCTGCCCAGGGCTGCAGTACCTCCATACTTAGCATGTGCAGGGTTGTGGTTTCCATCCCAGCACCGAAAGGAACAGAAAGCTGAGGCTTTTTAGAGCACTCCAGTCCTGACACTTTCACCCAGTGCCCTCTACATGAGTGTTCCAGAATTCAAAACTCTCCAAGTCTGTCACAGCTGTGGTCCAGGCATTCTGGACGAGGGACCCTCGGCCTGCATCAGTGAAATGCACCAGTGCTGCACCTGACTAATGGCGGTTACGGCTTTCTAATGGCTTACTTTATTCCAGACTTTCCCCATAAATGAGTAGTTTTCCGCTAATGGAACAATTTAATGAAAATCAGATTTCTTGTAAAAGCTATGGGGACTCCTGAGCTTGTTAGTTCCAACTGTGTTCGTCAGATTTTTAAAAACTCTTTAGTTAAATTAAGATATTAAATTTTAGCACTAGCATGAGGAAATGCACATGCATTGTAACAGGAGGCACTAACTAGAATTACAGTTTCGAGTGAGTGGCTAGCTTTGCTCACAAGGGGTGTGGTGTGGGGGGAGTATGGGGGGGTGTGGTGTGTGGTTTGGGGAGGTTTGTATGTGTGTGAGTGTGCACACATATGCTATGTGTGAGTGAGGAGGCCAAAGGTCAGTGTCAGGTGTGGTGTCTTCCTCTGTCATGCTACACGTTTTTCTTTGATGCGGGGTCTCTCACTGAACGGAGCTTTCCAGTTCAGCTAGACCAATTGGTCAGGTCCTCGGCTTGTGTGGCAAACAATTTACCCACTTCGCCATCTCCCTAACTCCAGTGTGGTGTTCTGTTCTACTAGTGACCATTGACTTCATGGTCACTTTCACTAGCGTTCTATGGGGTGGCTTCAGAGAGACCCCAGGAGCCAGGTTCAGTGGCACACACTGTATTTCCTATATTCACGCATTTCAGGTAGGAGAATCATGAGTCCCTTTTGTGTTGGTTTGTGTTTTGGGACAAGGTCCCACTGTGTAGCCTTGGCTAGCCTGGCACTCACTATGTAGACCAGAATGGCCTCACACTCACAGAGATCCGCCTGCCTGCAAGTGCTGGAATAAAGGCACGCGCCACCACTCCTGGTGCTAGGCTGGCTAGTGGTGAGCCTGCATAGCAAGACCTGGTCTGCAAAAGCAAAAATAAAGGATGTCAGGTATCAGAACCAAGCTGTGGCTCCCTGGTAAAGCTCATGCTTAACTGCATGATGCCCTGGTTCAGTCTCCAGCACCAATATTAAAACAACAACACCTTATTCTAGTTACTTTTCTGTTGCTATACTGAAATATTCTGACCAAAAGCAGCAGCTTGAGGAGGAAAGAGTTTCTTTTGTCTTTTAGGTCACAATTCATCATTGTGTGAAGTCAGGGCAGGGACATGGAGCGGAAACAATAGAGGAATACTGCTTCCTTACTCATCCCAGAAGTACCTGCCCAAGGATGGTGCCACCCTTAGTAGACTGGGCCATCTCGCATTAATTAATAATTAAGACACTCCCCACCCCTAGCATGCCTACCAGCCTATCTGATCTAGGCAATTTCTTAATCAAGGCTCTCCTCTCAGATGACTCTAGGCTGTGTCAAGTTGACAGTTAAATCTAACCAGGACACCTCCCCTTTCTCACAAAAGCTTCAGGGATCCTGTGATGCTGACTTCATTGGCTCCATTTATGAAGAAGGAAAAGCTAGATGTGGTAGTGCATGCCTTTAATCCCAGAACCTGGGAAGCAGAGTCATTCAGATCTCAGACCTCTGACTTTGGGGCCAGTTTGGTCTATGTGGCCAGTTCCAGACCAGTGGCGGCTACATAGTTAGACCCTGATCCAAACACAAACAAGTGAAAAGGAACAAATATAAGGAAAATAGGGTCAGGCAGAGTGGCACATGCCTTTAATCTCAGCTTTCAGGAGATAGAGGCAGGCAGTTTATGTGAATTTGAGGCCAGCCTGGTCTACATGAGTTTCAGGCCAGCTAGGGCTACATAGGGAGACCCCGTCCAAACAGAAGGAAAATGAGAAGGCTATAAGACGGCTCACCAGGTGAATGAATGTCCCTGCTGCACACACCTGGTGACCTGAGTATGAGCAGTGGAACCCACGTGGAAATGGAAAGAGAGGACCAAGTCCACAGAGTTGTCCTCTGACCTCCACGTGTGCAACATGCACACAATCACAGTTAAAATCATTTCTTGCCGGGCGGTGGTGGCGCACGCCTTTAATCCTAGCACTCGGGAGGCAGAGCCAGGCGGATCTCTGTGAGTTCGAGGCCAGCCTGGGCTACCAAGTGAGCTCCAGGAAAGGCGCAAAGCTACGCAGAGAAACCCTGTCTCGAAAAACCAAAAAAAAAAATCATTTCTTAAAGAAGAAGGAAAATGGCCAGTGTGGTGGTGCACACTTAGCATCCAAGCATTGTAGATGTGGAAATGGGAGAATCACCCACAAGTCAGAGGCCGACAGCATGAGTTCCAGGTATGGTTGAACTTCAGTAGGAAATTATTTCTCATAAAGAAACATACAAAGGAAGCATGCTACACTGCTGATTGTGCAGGAAAATACAGCAGTCTAAACCCCTCACTTCCTACCGTGAAAACTGAATACAGGGATATGGGCCATCTCTAACCATAACTCTTCCTAGTCATAGAAATTATAATTCAGTAAAATTCACAACAACCTGAGCAAACAATACAGCATGATAAGAGTGAAAACTGCAGGATTTAAAGTTCCATACATGCACTGGCAGAGTGGTCCAGATTCCATCCCCTGCACCACTTACTCAAATATGTTGGCGCCAATTTTACTTCCAGCGCTGGAGAAGTTAAAAAAAAAAAAATCAGGAATTCAAGGTTATCCTCAGCTCCATAATGAGTTTGAGGCCAGCCTGGGCTACATGAGACCCATTCTCAAAAAAAAAAAAAAGTCATGTATAGTGTGATTGATAATATGCACCCTTTCAGCCTCATACATTATAAAAGTATGGAAATAAACTGAAATGGGAATGTGGTACTGCTCAGTTGAATTCAAATTAGGTAAAGGAATGGATTATATTAAAAGAGAATAATGTTTAGGAACAGAAATAAAAATAAAGTTTTGCCTTTATTACCAAAATCAGGTTGAAGCCAGGCATAGTGACTATGTCTGTAATCCCAGCAATCAGAACCTACAACAGGAGGATTGCCATGACTTTGAAGCTTGGTTTATAGAGAGAGTTTCAGACTAGACTGGGCTACAGAGTCTTAAAACCCTGATTTTAAAACTAAGAAGATGTCTTAGCATATCAATCCCTTGCTGTACATGTGTGAAGAACATGGTTTGGATCTCCAGAACCCACATAAAATGTGCGGGCATAGCAGTGACCTGTAGTCCTGGCAGAAGCAGAGGCAAACCCCTGGGATAAATGGACACCTAGACTAGCTAGAATTGTCGAGCTCTGGGTTCAGTTAGAGACTTTGCCTCAGTAAATAAGGTGGAGCATGACCAAAGGAGACACCCAACTTCAGTGTTTGGCCTTCACACACACATGTACACATGTGCACACGTCATACACATACATACACATACAAACGGTTTTAAAAAACTAAACTGGACTTGGAATCTAAATAATTATTAATTCATTATATACTGAAAGAAAACTTGGATACATATTTTAAAATTTTTTTGAAGTGGAAAAATTTTTATAATAATATCTGAAAAAGTATAACATGACCATCCAAAATTTAAAACAGAATTTTTAAAACCAATAACAGTAAAGTTTTAAGATATCAACAAAGAAAGAAAAATATCTTTATACTGTATAAATTAATGGGTGGGTTTTCTTTTATTTATTCATTTTTAATTATGTGCATGTGTACCTGTGGTACGGGAGAGTGCATGTGCTTGAAGGGTCCAGAAGAGGGTGTCAGATCTCCTGGAGCTGGAATTACAGTCAGTTGTAAGCAGTCTGATGTGGGTGCTAGGAACCACACTAAAGTCCTCTGGAAGAGCACTCTGTGTTCTTTATCAATGAGCTATTTCTCTGGCCCTCAATTTTCTTTTTTAATACATACATCCTTTCATTTATGTGTGTGTGTGCCTTTATGAATCTATGTGCACCGTGTGCATACAGTACCTGTGAAGGCCGGAGATGGCCATCAGGTCCCCGAGAACTGGAATTAGGACAGAGATGAGCTACCACCCATGATGGTGCATGCCAATAATCCCATCACTCAGGAGGTGTAGACAGGAAGATTGCGAGTTCATGACCAGCCTTGGCTACATGAGACCCAATCTCAGTAAACAAACAAACAAACAAAACCAATAACAAAACCTTCTGAGTAGGCAGAGTCCAATATTTGAGCATACTGAGAAAGCAATAAATATTGAGTTTGATTTTATCCAGTGTTGGCAGGGCTTACAAAAACTCATTGGCAGGAGTTTAAATTAGAGGATTCTTAATTGGAAGGTCCTCAATATCTATCCAAAAGAAAAGCAATTACATATGGCCTATGACCATTGAAATTGCTGTTAGAATTTTGTCCAAAAGTTTCACTCTCCAAATTAGCCAAGAGCATAGTTAACGAAATGTTCAGCAGAACAACACTAAACAGTCGTAGGTGTTTGTGGCATTTGGGTTCGATTTGCTCCTGAGAATGAGGGGTAGCAGTATGTGCTGCAGCAGATCACTTCCAAACATGGTGCTGCAGGGAAGGCAAGCTGCAAGCACGCATGCAGGAGAAAAGAATGGGTAACTGCAGGGCTTCGTGTCTCAAGACCAATACACAGGAGTGTGAGGTGGAGAGTTCTAGAGTTGGAGGCCAGCCTTGGCTAAAGGGAGCCCCTTTCTCAACCCTTCCCTCCACAAAAGAGGGGGAAAGGAATTTGTATTGCACCATAGCTTGTTATGTTTTAATTTAATTCATACATACTGTTACATGTTACTTTACTTTGCCCTGTTCCATGTTATTGTATGTGACATGTTATTCTGCAGCACAAACCTTGTCAGTCTGTTGTGTTAGTCAATTGCCTGCTAGTTTACATGCCTTGTATGTCATATAGTAGTTTGTGTGCCCTGTGGTATCTTATGTACACCATGTGCATTGTAGAAAGGTACAAGGGAACCCTGAGGAGTGTAAAATTAAAAAGGACTGTGGTTTTTATCCTCTTATAAAATTTGTTTTAAAAAACTTTTGGCGTGCCACCTTTAATCCCAGCATTTGGGAGGCAGAAGCAGGTGGATCTTTGTGATTTAGAGGCCAGCCTGGTCTCAGCGAGTTCCAAGATATCCAGGCCTATTTAGAGAGAGTCTGTGTCAAAATAAAAGAAACGAAAACCTTGGAGTCTGGAGAGGTGGCCCCGTTGGTAAAATGCTTGCTGCAAAAGCTTGAGGGCCTGCGTTCAGATTTTCAGTGCCCATGTGAAAAAGCCAGGAGCTGCTCCACAGCTGTACCCCAGGACTGCGGAGTGAAAACGGGGGACTGGTCGCTAGGCATCCTCCCCAGCAATCTAGCCACATCAGTGAGCTCAGGGTTCAGCGAGGGACCCTGTCTCAAAGAATAAGTGAAGAAACAATTGAGGAAGATACAGACATTGGCCTCTAGCTTGCACACATGTGTGCAGACACACACATAGATGATTATACAATTTTTAAAGTGGGATTTTCTTAAGATTTGTTTTTAACTGTGTGTATGTGTATGAATGTATGTCTGTGTGGGTACAGGTACCTGCAGAGGCCAGAAGAGGGCAGTGAATTCCATGGAGCTAGTCACCTGATATGGGTGCTGGAAAATGAAGTCTGGTCCTCTGCAATTTTATAATTTATAATGGTCCTCCCATTTTATAATAGACACACATGAAAATATTAGCAAAAATCTTCTATAGGTGACAGAAATTTGGCTCTTTTTATTTTTTTAAGCTGTCTTTTCTCTTTTTGTACCCCCAGGTTTATTGTGTTGAGCATATGTTAAATTCATATGATATAAAAATAATGAACTTATTTTTAGACTTTTTTTTCTGTAGACACGGAGGAAAGCATGTTATTTCTTGGCTGGGGACAGCATTTGGAGACCATGGGAATAGTAAACTGCTTTCAGATACTCAGAATCCCCAACCCCCACCCACTGTGGTAGCATTTGCGCTCCACTTTAGAGGAAAGGACAGCTGTCACATCTGTTTAGGACATCCTTTATGCCAACAGATTCCTTTTCTGTGTCAGCAGAATGTAAATGTATCATTCTTCTCCCTAACTTCCGAAAACAATGAGTGTGTGATGATGCTGTTTGATTTCTTTTTAATATCTGCTGTCTCGGAACAAGTTCCATATAGGAGAGCCTTCCACACTGATTGCCACACATGTCGGGTCCTGCTGGGTGCACACCCACGTTGTATAATTTGTGTTCACAAAGGTGAGGTGCAGAGGTTCGGACTAGACTGCGACGCCTGCCTCCAGCTGGGCCTCCCTGAGAGAGAAGAGGGCTGAGCAGTGGGGCGCGGGGTACACAGCCCATCTCAGCAGTCAAAGCAAGATGACCAGTTTGGCTTCATTCTCTCTCTCTCTCTCTCTCTCTCTCTCTCTCTCTCTCTCTCTCTCTCTCTCTCTCT